AAATGGGTGAGGCGGGGCTAGTAAATTTTGGTTAATGAGAGGGCTGAGTTGTGTGGATGAGATCAAACAAGTACAGGAGCTGCACAAACAGACAGCTGCCAAGCTGCACTTGCAAAGCATGATGCATGGGACCAAGCCGGGCAGGTATGTAGGCAGGCACCTCGCTGAGCGCCACTGCAACTCGACCCTGCCCACCGCCCCTTACCGGCGGCATCTTGAGGGAGCTGCGCAGGTCGTCCAGCGAGGAGAAGGGGGGCAGCCCCAGGGTGGTCATGGGGTCCACCGGCGGCACCTCGACCACAGGCTTGGGCAGCAGCGCAAAGGCGAAGCCGACGACCAGTGGCGGCGGCGCCATGAAGCATGCGGAGGTGCACTTGGGCTCGATGGGGTCCGCCTCCGTCATGATGACATCACCCTCTCCGTCCACCTCGAAGAAGGGCTCCTCCTCCACGTCCCACATGATGGTGTCGGGGGCCTCGGATGCGCCGGTGACGGGGCAGATCATGGCGCCGGGCAGCAGGCTGCACGCGGGGATCGTGAAGGCCTCGGGCGCGCTGGGGGCGGGCAGCGGCGCCTTGGGGGCGGTGTCCTGCTGCTGCTCCTCCTCCTCCTGGCCCAGGCAGGCGTCCAGCAGCTGCTCAAAGCTCAGCGACTCCAGCCTGTGCAGCTCGGGGTCCTCGAGCGCCAGGGGCGCGGGTGCCTTGAGGGGCGCCGGAGGGGGGCCGGCGGCGGCGATGGCGCTGGGGCTGGGGCAGGCAATGATGGGGACGCACTCGAAGCTTGTGCCCTGGTTGGCCGTGATGGTGACGGGCTTGATGGGCGCGGCGGTGGTGTTGCCCTTCTCCTCATCCTCGTAGCAGGTGGCCAGCAGCTCCTCAAAGCTCAGCGACTCCAGCCTCTGCAGCTCGGGGTCATCCAGCGCCAGGGGCGCGCGCGCCTTGAGGGGCGCCGGCGGCGGCCCGGCGGCGGCGGTGGCGCTGGGGCTGGAGCAGGCGACGATGGGGACGCTCTCGAAGCTGGTGCCGTCTGTGGCCGAGGTGTCCTTGGTCTTGTTGATCTTCATCTTGATGGGCTTCCTCTTCTTGTTGCCGTGGCTGGGGCCGACCTGCGTGGTGGAGGCGGAGGCGGGGGCGGACGCGCACGAGGAGCGAAAGATGGGCACAAACCCATCGTCAAAGGGAAACAGCAGGCTCTTGGGCGCAGGCACAGGCGAGGCGGCGGGCGCGGCGGCGAGCGTGATGGGGTTGTCGAGCATGCAAGTGAAGCTGGGGCGGGTGTCCTTGACGAGCTGGGCCCTGGGCGCCTGCAGTCGTGGGTGGGTGGACAACGAGGGAACTGTGATTCAGAGGCCGAGGTGCGGCGCCTGCAGCTCTATCAGGGTTACTAGCAGGCGAGCTCATTCTGCACTGCGGTGCGCGACACAGCGGCAGCGGCGGCGCCGCTTCTGGAGCGTGCTCAGGGTGCGCCGCAGCACCAGTATCGGTCTCCATGAATCACATATGATCAAAATCGCACATGACCACGAGCTCGTCCACGGCCTGGGGCTTGGAGGGTTGATACGTGGCCCTCTTCGCCCGAACCATGGAGTTGTTCTGCGGTCAGGGGTGTGGATCCATGTCAGAGCCTCACGCAGACGATCGCGACGAATCCAAGGACCACCGGACACCCTGATCAGCCAGTGATCTAGGCTTGAGCAGCGTTGACCTGCAACCCGGGTCGCCCAAGCCCGTACACTCACCTTGATGACGACAGCAGGCTTCTTGTTGAGCGACGTTGCGCAGGAAATTCCGCGCAAGCCGTTCATGATGGCGCTTGGGGGTGGTGTTGCAGCACTCGCTGCTTTTTGTCGGCTTGGGGGTTTTGGGGGCTTTTGGGGGCTTTTGGGGAAGTTGGGGCTTTCAACACTCAATGGTGCTGATGTAAAGAAGGTAACAAACGGTGCAGGATAAGTAGCGAGCGATCTGGCAGCAGCAGGGCCGGCAGCTGCCCCTCAGCTGCCTTGCGCCCGCTGGGCGCTGGCTCCTGTGCTTGTCTGGTTCTGGTTGATCGCTTTTGGAAGCAGATGGAGTATCCAATAGATACAGAGTGTGATTCCTTGCTTCTCAAGCTTGGCTGAGGGAACATCAAGCTGGGATTGTGAAATGCAATCTGGGTATAGCATACTGGTGCCAGATCGCCTCACTGCTCTGCAGGGCAGCGCACCATTTTCAGCTTGCCTTTCTCAGCTGGCAGGCTAGCAATCGGATCGAAATCAGGGGTTTCATTTGACGCAACGCACACAGGTTGGCACAATCTCAAGCAACCCTGTGAAAGAGCGGGCATGTGCAACTATTCGAACGTGATGCAGCAGCCAGCGTGATGCTACTGAAGCATTTTGCATCTATCACACTGTTGTAAGGCGATTGCACAAACCAGCTTCCATCCTAGCATACCTTGCTTGCGGCAGCGGAAGCAATGCCAAACTTGTCACACCACCCTGCGAACACTTTGGCACCTTCCGCATCCGTGGGGTGGACTTTACTGTACCACCTTCTTGTTTGACTGGACACAATGCAAAGTCTGGTTCAATCTGTAATTGCGCAGTCACTTACGATGCATGCTGTTGGGGGTGGGGAGCTTCCCCAACCCCGCCGCCAGTTCCTCCAGCAGGCACCGGCGGCGAAAGTGGGCGGATTGGGGCGCGCGCAGCCGCCTTGTGCGATCGCAGGGGTGGCGTGCAGGGGCTATTTCCCACCAGCGCAGCTCAACCGCATACGTGGCAAGGTGGCATGCAAGGGGCACAAGGGATGACCAGGTGGCTGACTGGCGGTCACTAGCACCTGTCACTATGGTCCTGGCCGAGTGCACGCATTCGCAAGGGTATTGCTCTGTGGTGCATTATCACCACACCTGCTGGGTCGGCCCAAGTGCACCTGCAAAGCTGCATACGTGTATTCCAAGCCGTTTCAAGGCGTGTTCAAAGCGAGAACCGTCCCTCGTCACGATCGATCTGGTACCATTGCTCGCATGCAGTAGAATTGTGTTTGCATCAGGCATAAAGGATGCCGCGCCCGGGGCCGCTGCGGGGCCGGGCGGTGTTGCTAGTACTGGCGATCCTGCTGGGCACCAGCACGAGCGGGCTATCGGCGTTGGCAAGCGGAAAAGGAAAGGATACTTCTAAGGGCAGCAGATGGAGGTGAGGTGCTTGGAGTAAGGAAGCAGACGGTGATCCAGCATGTCAGTTCTGAGATCCAACGTACGTGGCCTCTCACCTATTGCAGGAAGCCTGCTGCACCGTCACCTAGTCCAGGGCAGCATCTGTTCAAACGGGTGGGTGCACCGGCGGTTGCAACCGCTTCGCAGCATGCGCTGCGTTGCGCGTTCTGCTGCAGTCGCTAGTGTGACAGGCAGTGGCGCAGGGCCGGTCGCTCAGTGGCCCCGCAGCGTTATGAAAGCAATTCATCAGGCAAAATCGCGTCCAGTAAAACCCACGCGCCTTCAGTGCTGCATCCGCACCACCAAACCAGCCCGCCGCCGCTGTCGCCGGCGTGGCCCCATCCCTCCCCCTCCC